AAAAACCCATCGTCGTTTCAATGGCTTTTTGAAGCAGATTCCCATGATACTGCTCATCATTCATTCTACCCTTATATGCCATACGCATGTTCCACCATCACCATAACAACACGAACATGCACACGCACAGAAACATAGCTTCTCTACAAACGGAAAGATGCGGAACAACTTTAAACAGTCTCGAAAGTTTCGTGGACCTCCTGGGACCACCTCCCCCGAGATGCTGTCATAGGAAAATTCCCATACGAGGCCCACAGCAGCCCTGCCCCCTCCCGCTCCCCCCCCACCCCCCACCCCCAAACCCCAAACCCTAAACCCTAAACCCCAAACCCTAAACCCTAAACCCTGAACCCTGAACCCCAAACCCTAAACCCCAAACCCCAGACCCCAAACCCTAAACCCTAAACCCTAAACCCCCCCCCTCAAAGAAACAAAAAGACATGAATCTGAGATCCGGTCCAAGGTTGGCCCATGCTGCGCTGTCAGGGCACCGCTGCCCAAGGGCCGGTCCTGGCTCGCGCTTGGGGCCCTTGGTGTTAGTAAGGGTTTAGGGTTTAGGGTTTAGGGTTTAGGGTCTAGGGTTTAGGGTTTAGGGTTTAGGGTTTAGGGTTCAGGGTTTGGAGCTCTTGCTGTTTAGGGTTCTTGCTGTTTAGGGTTCTTGCTGTTTAGGGTTCTTGCTGTTTAGGGCGCTGTTTCGGGTTCTTGCTGTTTAGGGCGCTGTTTAGGGTTCTTGCTGTTTAGGGTTCTTGCTGTTTAGGGTTTCGGGCTTCTGACAGGTTCGGAAGAGTTCCTTTCAGGGCTCAGGGTTCCTTGCGGCTTTCTTCAGGGTTCAACCTGAGAGCAGAGGCAGCATGAATTCCAGACCAGGCGTTGACAGGGTCTCAAAGGTGTGATGTTTTAGGGTTTAGGGTTTAGGGTTTAGGGTTTAGGGTTTAGGGTTTAGGGTTTAGGGTTTAGGGTTTAGGGGGTTCATAGAGGCCAGGATGAATGGTGTGAGCGAACCTGTCACAGCTCAAGACCAAATGAAAGCATTGGGGTTCTTTAGGCTCTTGGCGCTCTCGGGGGCTTGTTGAGGCTTCTTAGGGTTTGCGGGGGTTTGGTCTGGGGCTGACTAATTAAGATGTTTCGGGTTTAGGGTGTGCAGGGTGTAGGGTACCATCATCCTATTGCCGCCGACCTCAAAACTAGCACTACCGTGCCACATTCAAACTGCAACTGTGATGTCCAATGGGCAGTCGCAAGCAAAGAGGGTGCATGCGCATCATACTAATTCTGCTTTACGATTAATTAAGGTTGCGAATATCTAGTGTGAATATTGTGGACAATTATTGCTCATTTTGAAAATCTTGCTAACATTGAAAATCTTGTTAATCTCGTTTCTCGACTGTCAGCACTTGCCTATTGTTAGCATGATAGCCAGTGTGAAAACTGTGGATACTGTGCAAAATCTGATGAACACAGAACCGAGGGCCATGCCGGTGCCAACCCTAAACTTGAAACACTGCAAGGCTAAGGGGGTATAAGGAGGGACCCCCAGAAGGGGCCCCTTAATCTTATTCCCCTTTATAACCCTCTACTATCTACCTTGAATAGTCCCTATATACCTGAGTAGCCCCCTAAATGACCCCTAAAGAACCCCTGAGGTCCCTTGTAAGGGTCCCTCCCTTAGTCCCTTGAGAGGTCGATGGCCTGGCGACTCGGTTTTGGAAGTGGGGGCGTCGTTGGGACCGCACCTGCCACCACTTGCGCCCACTTGAGCCTTTCACTTCCAGATCCCGACCCCCCCTTGATAAACCCTAAACCCTAAACCCTACACCCTACACCCTACACCCTAAGCCCTAAACCCCAAAGCCTAAACCTGAACCCTCAAACCTAAACCCTAAACCCTAAACCCTAAACCCTAAACCCTAAACCCCAAACCCAGCTCAGTGAGACAACTTCCGACCTGGCAGTCGCTGTTGTGGAGCGGGGGCGGCCTTGAGAAAGCTGGCATATCTGTTAGAGCTGTGGCCTCAAGTTAGCAGCTAACTCAAGTAGGGTTTAGGGTTCAGGGTTTAGGGTTTAAGGTTTAGGGTTTAGGGTAGGGGGTACCTTATTGAGGTCTCTACTATAAGGGAATCCACTGTTCGGGGTCTATATCAGGGGACCCTTATTTTCGTAAACCCCCCTATGGTTACTTCTCTAAGTTATGGTCCATTTTGGGGGTCCTTATTGTAAGGCGGCCCGTCTTGTTTAGGGTACCCCAAGAAGGGGCCACAATTTAGAGACCAAGTGGGCGTTTCCTAAATTCGGGGTACCTTACTGGATCCTCATGACAAGGGAACCGTACTATTTTGGTGTCTATACTATTGGGGGTCCCTCATTCTCGGAAACCCTCAAGTGACTAAACGCATCAAGCAGCACCCTCCCTACAAACCTACCATGTGGGAGGTTCGGGTCTCCATTAATCGCTTCATGTTTTACACTTGCATGTTGCGTTTGTGTTGATTGCTTCATCTATATGTATGCACCTAGCTTTGTTGCATACAATTTACACATATACACCTATTCATGTCTATACAGTCACTTTAACGTACGGTGCCGAGAAAGGCCCACCAACTTAGCTCTACCTTCCATGCTCAACCGGAGGTCTTGGGCAGCGTGGCCTGGCTGGCCACGCGCAGTTGCCGTAAGTTTGCTCCTGACGCCCGCGAATTGGGGTTTAGGGTTTAGGGTTTAGGGCTTAGGGCTTAGGGTTTAGGGTTTAGGGGGTGTGGTAGGTTCTACGGTAGGCCACGGTACGTTGCGGTAAGTCATGGGCCCTCTTTGGCCTCGTTTCACAAGAGAGCTGTTCACTTATCACTGAAAAAGCTCCAGTGTTCCAAATCAGCATCCCACCCAGCCTCTGCACAGGGACCTGACACGATCATGCGGGCGGCTATGAAAACTACGATCCCTTTCTGGGGTAAGTTACCCCAAAATATTTTGGTGCCGTGTTATACTAGGGATCCAAAAAGGGAACCATGGTTCTGACAGCCACCCATGCAGCTTCAACGACGCGCACCGCGGAGCCGCACGTGTCTCACCGGCCTGCTCAGCAGCCCCGCAGCTGCGAAGGCTGTAATTCCCAGGCCAATCACAGCTGTGCCCTGGCAACTTACAAGGGGATCGTGGCCAAAGGATGCCTGAAATTTGAGTCCGAAAGAGCACAACGGTTTCTCAACAGGCAAGGCCCACCTGGAGGTTGTGCGGGGATGCTTGCTTCCCTGCCTCCTGCTCAGGCTTCCGGGATTCTTCGCACATCTGCGCACATTGCTGACATAGGGGGAGAACTGGGTAGAACTCTGATTTTTAGAGCTCCTCAGAGCTTGCCTGTGCCAGGGTGCAGTCCGGTACCATGCCCGCACCCGGACCAACACCCAGGCCCTTCTCAGCAAGCTCGCCCCTGAGCCCGTGCTGCCAGAGAGTCTGCAACAAGGAGCTCCCCTCCTTCCCAAGAGACAGCTTCTTTGCCGAGTTGCAGAGTTGCCGGGGTAAATGCCTCTGGCTCTGGTTGACTCTCCATCTCCTTGCTGTCCCAAAGGCAAGGCATCTCGACCGGAAACATGCCAACAGGGTCCCGGGCGGGCAGTGACGGAACTGCAGAATCCACCCAATCCTGCGCAAGGATTTCGTCTCTTGGGGCATGTTGGCTTCGCGCAGCACAGCAAACGAGCGCCTTCGGACTCGGCAAGGGCACGGAGGGCGGTCCGCATGGTTCTCCGCATGGTTCTGGGTGGCAAGAGCGCCACAATGCCCCCACAAAAACCCTAAACCCTAAACCCCTCCATGGACCTCCCTTAAACGCCCCTGAACCCTAAACTCTAAACCCCAAAAACAACAAAAACAACAAAAACGCCACACAGAGACACAAGAAAAAAGGAGGCACAGCGCCTGCAATCGTCTTCCCCGCGGCCGGCGCCGGGGGGGCGGGACCTGCACATCCCCACACATTCTCTCCCTCCAGCATTCTTTCTTGTGTTATAAATGCTGTTGCAAATAACACTGGTGAAGCGTAATAAAATACTATTAATAATAGTAACAATAATAGTAACAATAATAACTATTTAAAAATAAATACAGATACAAATGCAAATGTAAATATACATATAAATACAAATAAGAAGAAGAAGAATAATCATAATAATAATAATAATAGCAACTCAAACAATCATCATTCCCAGCATACTCCTCCAACCTTCAGGCGCTCTCGCCAAGAAGCGTCCTTGAAGGCAGCGAGAACGGAGGGACTTTCGTTTCTCTGGTTCGCTCTACTGGCAGCCCAATGCCCTAAACCCCAACCCTAAACCCTAAACCCTAAACCCTAAACCCTAAACCCTAAACCGTTGCGCACCTGCAGCGAGGCCAAGTCCAAGTAGCGCCGCGCCGGCAACTACATAGCCTGGGCATGGCAAGAATGCAAGGACTTCTTGGGAGAGGACATTTGGGCAGAAGTTTCAAAAGCCGCGGCCACGCAAGCCCTGTAGTCTGTTTGCAAGGGCAGAGGCACCTATCCTGCCAGGCACAAATTGTTCTGGCATTTCTGGCAGATCCTGGAGACCAAGAGAGCCAGCAGAGAGCAGAGAACAACAGCGGAAGCGGCCATGTACCCCCCATGACCCACATGCGCTCCACGAAGCACCTGTAAGGTCTGTGTCGCAGCACTTGCCAGTGATGGCAGGGTTTGCCTCAGGAAGGGGGCACGATGTGGCGTGACACAATGGCACAAGCTCAGCAGTCAGCTTGGTCACGTTGACGCTTCTTCCGCATTTCCAATAAAGTACCTCGGTTTCGGCACCGGCTCATGAGAATCATCAGGATTCTCTTGAGCCAAGATGCCAGTCGGCTTGATCGCCTAGGCCCTCCATAGCTAATCGCAGCCGTGGCTTGATGCTAAAATAGCTGCGCGCAGCGGCCGGGTGACGTAGCGTGCGGTTGCATGGAAGATGCAGTGCTTGGACAAGCTGCGCGCAGGGGCTGACCGTGCCATAGAATGCAATGTCGAAGAGAAACCAGCAGCCCGCCGTTCCTCGGCTACATTGAATCTACATTCTGCTCCTAGCAGCTTGTGTTGTAGGCCCCACGCCTACCAGGAGCTGCCAGTTACGCGGGTCACCCAAGTTTCCTCCTCAGAAACGTCTTACAAAACAATCTGCAAACGAAGGTTGCCATGAAGGAACTTGAGCTCCAACCCTCGCAGGTTTAAGGTTTGAACGGCCTGGCGTCCGCGCCTCAGGTGCGGCATTCCGCATGACTGTTGGGGTCTTCGAACTGTGCAACTCAAGGTCGCTACCACAGAGTGGTGCTCCTGTTCTTGAGGCAGAAATCATGTTGGCCACCAGTCATGCAACCAGAATGCACGTCCTCCTCGTAGATGGAACATAGCAAGACCTTGCACTGTGCACTCTCTGACGACATGCGCCACTGCTTGATGCCGACAGGGCTGCCTACCCGGCGTTTCAAGCCTCCAATCAAAGTTCCGCACCACGAGAGCTGGTATGGCCCCGATGCCAAGCAGAATCCGGAACTGCACCGAGGTAATGCCCTGGATTGCAAGGAGGCTTGTTGAGTGCTGGCGCGTGGCGCATCTGAGCCCACTTTGATCAACCCCAGATGGATGATGGCTTATTGCTTACTACATATTATCTACTGTGCGACTATATACTACTGCATGTTTGCTAGAAAAAGGGTACATCTCCGGCGTGCCTGACTCGGAGGCAAGCTTAGCAACGGCAGCGCCAACCTGGTGTGTTGTCTGTCCGCGGTCGGCCGTGAACAGTCTCCACAGTGTCCACTTGGGATGCTCCCTCTTATACTAACAATCCTTAGTAGGGATTATAATTGGGGTTACTATAATATACTATAATCCTTATTAAGGACTGTTAGTATAAGGGTGAACATCCCAGGTGTCCACCTTCTGCTTAGGTGCGGACAGGTAAGGAGCCAGCTGCCCGGGTCCCTGCCTTAGACTGGCTTGAGAGCGGCTGCAACATGCAACAGGCCCAGGGAGGTCTGTCTGGCTGCCCAGGCACCAAAAAAATGCCTTCGCCGCACTGTTTGCTGCATCTACGGCACTCACCTCCAGTCGATCTGTATCTGGAGTCCCAGGAGTCCCCGGAGTGCTTGCACATGCAAATTCGGAGCCGCCTCTCTGGCACCTTTCCCTGGCTGAGCGGCCTGGTCAGGGCCAAACCACGCATGTCTCCCAGCCACTGCGATGCTCCTGCCGAGCCTTGGCAGCACTAAGCGGGTAATTGCCACCCACCTGACAACTCCCGGATGAACAGTACTAATATTAATAATAATACTAATTATAATCACAATAGCAGTAGTAGTAATAACAATAATCACAATAGTATTCGTATCACCAGCTGAAACCTTCGCTTGGGTCGCTGCGCCAATCCCCATGACCAACCGGCTCACCGCTATCATGGTCCTCTCGCTGCTGACTCATGTGGCCCAGCTCACTCAACCACTTGCCCTCACGCTACGGTCGCGGTCCAGATAGTCTCCGGCGAACCTTTGGGCATCTAAAGCAATCAATGGGTCTATACAGAGAGGGGAGTTAGTGCAAGTCATCCAAACATGCCCGCAAGACCCCAAGAGAGCAGTGACGATGCCAATGCACCGAAGGCCGCCAGTGCGTTGGTGACAATCTGCATAGGGTGAGTCTTCATGGTCGCAGCTTCAGCTTGGTCTTCGTTCAACACATCCGAGCGGGCGCGCCAATGCTGGTCGGACACCGAGCACGTCCCCCAAATACCTGGCTCTTTGTCAGCTGGTCTGCATCTCATGGGCTGCCCTCTCTTGAGCTTACCCCATTGTCAGCATGCCCGCCACCGAGCCGATGAACACGGCTCCTGCAGATGACGAATGAGAGCTGCGTGACACTTGCGAACCAAGACCCCTCACATAAGCACGGCACCAAGAAGGCCATGTGCGACCTCACCAAGGAGCGCAGGCGCATCACAAGAAACGTGGAGGTTGCTGTGAGGAGCGCTATCCCCCAATCACGGCTTTACGGGATCTTCTGCAGGCCGCGCACCCCTCACCGCAAGGTGCGTCGGCAGGCGCGCGCGCATTCAGGGAGCCCATGGGAAAACAGGAGAATGAGCAAACGATTCCCGCGCACCATCGTGTGATTTGATGTGCCCTTAGCTGCTTACAATTTAGATGCCGACATGATGCCAGGACACAAGGTCCACAGGCGAGCGTTGGTCGCCCAGCACTATCCCCAAGATATTTGTAGACGTTCACTAAAGACCCAGGATCTGGTCTCGTTTCCCCCGCCTGGAGGAGCGAAAATCCGGCGCCACAGGGGTATCGGGCTGTGGGCTCCTCCACAAAGACCGCACCAAAGAAGCACGAAGTTTCCCTGAGGCCCCCTATGACCTCCCCTGGACCCACCCTGGGGCCCCCCTCCCTGGGATAGGTTGGCCTCACAAAAACCCTCCCCACATGCTACACCCCTCGTTGCCGAGGTGGCGCGCGCAAACGTTTACAATTGTTTAAGTAGTCAGTTCACAAACGATTGAGCCAATGAATAAGTTGGCGAATACTCAACAACTACTGAGATGACCCCCAAAACGCGAGCCATTGCTCTGGCAAGGTGTGCTGGTCCGGATTTCTGTTTTCCGGAGGGCCAGGAGCCTGGGGAGTTTCTGGAAGCCTCCCAACCTGCGAAAGCTTCCAAAGCCCTGATTTTGGTCAAAGGCCCCCGCGACCTTTTGACAACCCGGGTTTTTTCTGAGGGAGTTTATTCTTGAAAGGCAAGCTAATCTTCAGAGGCCCCCCTTGGGCGAAACTCTGAACCCCCCTTGAGAGGCATAGCCCAAAACCCAAGACCCTAAACCTTAAAACGTTGGCCGAGGGTCGGTGCCCAGGGCGTCGATGGACGGACCGTGCCACTTTGGGGTTTCTTACGATTTATGGTTTAGGGTGTAGGGTCGTGAGTATGTGACAAGTGGTCTTTGAGGCCCCTGCCCACTTTGGCTGCGGAAAGTCTGGGCGGACCTAGGACTTCGACAAGGCAGGACGCGGCTGAGAACTTCGGAACATGCCGGAGCTGGGTGCCAGACCCCGACTCCGATCGTGTCATTGTGGGATAGCATGATGGCAGCAGCGATACTGCAGGGCTTGGCTCACTTTGCCACGCAAACGACAAGAGACAGCAGATTCGTCTACGGTCGAACTGCACGTTGTTCTTACATCCCAAAAGGGTTGGTTTCTGCGCCCTGCTGGCAAGGCGCCACGTGGGCGTTTACGACAATCAGGGATCCGAATATAAAGCACCAAACAGTAGGATTCCCTTGAAAGAAAGGACCCCAACAAGGTACCCCTAATATCGTAAGCCCCCTTTTGATGATCAGAGCCACAAAGAGCGCTCGTACTTTTAGCATGGCGTGGAAAAAGGCCTCGCGGACGAGTAATTGTACTGGATGGAGAAGTTGCTGCAGGCTGGCCTGGAGCTCTTGCTTGGCAACGTATACAGGCGACTTGCTGCGCGAATGCGAGTGCCAGGCACGAATCTCGGGCATTGCCGACACGTGGCTCCACCATCCTGGGCGTACGTAACAACATTAACCAAGAGAGCGTTCGTCGTTCGTCTCGACACCTCGTCCGCAGCTGGCCTGCCTCATACAGTTTCGTCTTCAGTTTCAACTGAAGACCCGGCTTCTGGGGCTTATGGAAAAAACTTGCCAACACTTCTGGGCGCTGCACTCATTCAGAACGGACACGTGTCACAACTTCAGCAGCCTGTCGTCATGATGTCTGACCACAGCAGAACGCTAAAGCTTGGCGCAGCGCCTGCGAGGACAGACCATTTCAACAGGATGCCTTAGCCTTGGCTTTGTATGTCTGAATCGAAACTGAAAGATCCCAAGCATGCGCAATTCGCTGGGGCCACTGGCCTGTGGGCAGTCCAGGTATCTTGTCCAATTATTCTATATTGCCAGAAGCAAATGTTGTACGAAAAATGGGAAGAGCTCTTGCAATCACGGAAGTTGTCAACACTGGCCAATTTCCCCAATCAGGACCTCTAGACCAACACGCACGCCTCTTGTGCCTTGTCGGTCTACATGTCACCCGCGCAGCTCTGAGTGCTGCTGGCCCTGGCCAGCCCTCCATAGCCCAAAGCGAAAACCGAAACCCGAGACCCTAGACCCTAAACCCGAAACCCTAAACCAGAAACCCTAAACCCTACACCCGAAACCTAAACCCTACACCCGAAACCTTAAACGCGGAAGGCGCAGAAGGCTGGAAGCTGCAAGGAAGAGTTTTTTTTAGGCAGCAGGCTGTTGCCATGGCACGCGAGGCCATGTGCGAAGACCCATCTCGCGCGGGCGCGCTCCGACAGCTTCCAGGGTTTAGGGGTTTGAGGTTGAAGGTCCAGGGTTTCAATGTTTTAGGGTTTACTAGGGTTCAGGGTTTAGGGCTTAAGGTTTTTAATTACTAGAGTTTCAGGTGCAAGTCGCAGGATGGATGCAGATGATCTGCAATGTCCGCTGCACATGAACCTCTGCTTGAGCGTTCTTGTTAAAGCTACGGTCCTCCTCTGTGTGGAAGTATTGCAAAAAGCCACTTCGGTCGGGTGGTGCAAGCACGCAGAAAGTGAGGAGGGCTGAAGGAGCCAGAGGTTTGAGGGTCTGAGAGTGCTTCGGGGGAGCTCTTTCGCGCTGCGGGATAAGGGCATCACTCGGAGCAGCCCGTGCTTGGCACTGGGAGAAAAGCTAATGCCACGATGTGCAGTTATGCACCAAAATCAAACAGTGGAGGCCACGCTGCGTTGCGGGAAGGACGAAGTCCAATGTATGTCTTCAGAATCTAGCAATGTGAAGTCTGCGCGCAATACAAGCGAGCCTGAGGTTAGCTGGTGGTAGCTGTTGAAACCTGTCGAGTCGACACAAGAGACGCCAATGCTTTCAACATCGGTCGACAGTAGCTGTGCGGGTACCCTTCGGGTTCCGGTCGATAGCGCTAGAAAATGAACTGAACTTAAGTGCAAAGGCAAGTGTTCAGATCGATGCGCAAGGTCAATTCATAGCCAAGTCCTGCGCCAGGAACTAACAGCTACAGAAGCGACCTGTAGTGCAGTCCAGCCTGAACCCTAAACCCTAAACCCTAAACGCTAAACCCTAAACCCTAAACCCTAAACCCTAAACCCTAAACCCTAAACCCTAGCTCAACCACTCGTGCTCTTTTTCTGCGCTATGCAGCAGGGTGTGGTTGCTTACCTAGCTGGCAGCAGGATGTAGTCGCAGTGGAGTGCCCGTCCTGGCTTCTGCGATGCAAGACTGGCTGAAGATGCTTTCAGTACTTTAGGGTTTAGGGTTTAGGGTTAGGGTTTAGGGTTTAGGGTTTAGGGTTTAGGGTTTAGGGTTTAGCTTGAACGACCCTTAAACATAAACAAGGCTGGCGGCTGCAAGGCTGCTTCAGGAAGCAAGCTCCTGCAATTCGCAACTCGAAGCCGGTGCAAGCAAACCGCAGGCAAGAAGGGTGGCCTGGTGCCCTTGTCAAGCCAGCACTTTGGACAAACACCTTCTGCGCAGCTGTTGTCGCAGTAGTAGGCCTCTGTCACCTGGCCAAAACGTTTGTGCCAGTCAAGTCTGCCTTGATTTGACACTATGTCCCGTGCAGTGCCTCTTTCAACTCTTTCAGCTTGGCATAATTCTCCGGCACGTTCTTGAACGTGGACTGCAGGGGAACTTGAGGTACCCCAAATCCAGACCACAGTATCATGTGACTGTGTGATAGGCTTCCTCCTAGAATCAGGTCCCTTTTGGGGTACCTATTACGCTGGGGGTCCTCATATTTATGAGTGCCCAACACCACCGTGTAGCGGTCGCAAAAAATCAACCCCCATCCTAAGGCAAGCACACTGCCAAGCCTGGTGTACATGTCCCTGCCTCGATGTAGCGGTCAGAGGCAAACCGGCCTTCCCTCATGAAGCGGCCAAAGGATCTCTGCTTCGCGATCGCGGGGAAATTGTCAACTAGGACAACAGCAATCTTGTAGCCGGCCTGCCCAATCACAAGACATCACACCAAAGTCCATGTGCACACCGTCGCATGCGGCCTTCTGAAAGAAAGGAAGTATGCGCGTGAGGATGCGGTCCAGATCTTTGCCCGTGTCCTCCACAGGCTAGATGCGTGCTCTGGGCACTTCTCTAACTCATGGTCTCTTGTTGGGTCCCTGCTAAAATCGAGCTGACAACTTTCCGGATGTAGTCATGACGGCTCCAGACCGAGATCTTCCCACCTCGTAGATCACGTGCTGCTTGCGCTTGACGATCTCATTCTGTGCAGCCTTATCAAGCCCGCCTAACTTGGGATGTTCCCCCTTATACTAACACTCCTCAATCGGGATTGCAATAGGGGGTACGATAATCCCTATTTGTGAAGGACTGTTAGTATAAGGGGAGCACCTCAAAGACCCTAAGCCCCACTGCAAAAACATCCTCCGACAGCCGGGAGGCTTTGGCGATCGGGATCACGCCGGAGTAGCAGCCATCCGCTGCATCCTGCAATGGCAACCGCAGCGTTCTTAAGGCCAAGGCTAAAACTAAGATGAACCATACGGGGGCTTCCGAAATTGGGGGTACCGTTTTGGGGTCCTCATTCTAAAGGAATCCTACTATTTGGGGGTTTATACTGGGGTCCCCTATTTTCGTAAACCCGATGCAAACCTAAGGTTCATTCCAATGGTATTCATATTCTGCTGTACCCCGGTGTGGAACTCCGGGACAGCGAGGGCGCGCCGGCTTTCTACAGGCGCTCCTTGAAGACCACCAGCTCATGCTGCTTTGACGCCTTGAACTCGGGCAAGTACTCGATGTACCTCTCCACAGATCTACCAGGAAAGGCGCGTCCCGAAAAAGAATCGAACGCTAGGGGCGTGCTCATCCAAGCCATGCAGAACAAAGTTTCCCGTGTCCATGCCATGCTGCGCCATCGCCTGTCAAGGGACGGCATTCACCGGGCACCTCGTGTTTTCCGTGCTCGCTGCTTCTTTCTCTTTACGTAGGCCTTGGGGGATGTAGGGTATGCATGGTGAAGCGTCCTTCGGGCCCCTAAACCCTAAACCCTAAACCCTAAACCCTAAACCCCAAACCCTAAACCCCAAACCCCAAGCCCCAAACCCCAAACCCCAAACCCCAACAAACTGATCAGCAGCCCGTCCTTCAGGAAGCCGCCCTTCCCGGCTCCCGAGCCACCCAGCATCAGAAGTAACTGGGGCTCCGCCTGCACGCTTACTTGGAGGTTCATGGTACTTACAAAACCAATTCTAACTGTGCATATATATATATATATATATATTTACATATATATCTATATATCTCTTTATATATATAACTGTACTTATAACCATATTAGGGCTTATTAGGGCACTTAAGGGGCTTACAGGGCACTTGTGGGGGCACTTGTAGGGGTTTGGGGGGGGCAGTTTGGAGAGGTTCTGGGTCACTCGAAGCCGCTGTCCCTCGCCTGCCCCGTCGCAGCTGTCAGGTGCGCCTGGCAAGATCTACAGGCGATGCGGCATGTAACCAGGTCCCAAGCTTCGCCCTACTTGGAGGTTCATGGGTGGTTCTAAGTAGGGTTCATAAGCACCCTAAGTAGGGTTATAGGTATGGCTACCATACTCCTAACCCTACCTAGAGCTACCGATGAACCTCCAAGCAAGGCCGCAGACCCCTGAACCTCGCTTCGGGCCTCGATGATCTCCTTCTGCAGTTGCTCAGAGTACTTTGGCTGACCTCGGCTTCGCAAGGCATGGAAAGCCACCCCTGAACCCTGAACCCTGAACCCTGAGCCCTGAACCCTGAAACCTAAACCCTAAACCCGAAACCCTAAACCCTAAACCCTAGACCCTCCATCCCCAAGCAGCCAAGTGCGAGGCAGGGAGTGGGCGTCTTGTCTTCGATGGCCCGCTCCTCGGGACCCAAGTACCTGGTTGGGGCCAGCATTCTGCCGGACAACTTCCCTAAACCCTAAACCCTAAACCCTAAACCCTAAACCCTAAACTCTAAACCCTAAACCGCAGAGGAGGAGCTCTTTCAAGAACTGCATGTGAAAAGTTTTCATCCGCTCCTCAACCAAGGGCATCGTGGAGAGTTGATGGCAGCGGAGGGCGGGGGCTTGTCCCATCCCATACTAAGATTCTCACGAGCACCCGCTTCAACTTACCCTCTTCGGGTAGGATGGTGATGCGGTAGTGCCAGGTGCCATTCCTGCTCGGAGGCTGCGCGTGGAAAGAGCGCTCTGGAGTTGCAAAGCCGAGTCCTTTGGCCGAAGCCACTTCCGGGCACGACGATGACACCCGTCGCCTCAGCTGGATGCAATCCCAAACCCTAAACTTGGGATGCTCCCCCTTCTTCTTACAGTCCTTAATGGGGATCATAATGGGGGGTACTATAATCCCTGTTAAGGACTGCTTTAGGGGAACATCCCAACCCTAAACCCCAAACCCCCTGGCTCCTCCTGACTTCTAGTCTCAGGCTGCCACTTCCAGCATCTTGATGCAGTACAACATGTCGGCAGCCTTGCCGTTTGTCAATTGTGTCACACCAGGATGGACAGGATTGCATCTTTAGAGTCTGTTGGCCATGGTGGAGGCACGCAAGTCTCTACTGATCATCCGTCAGTTCGCGGCCCTCCCCCCACCCCCCACCCCGCCTTTCCCAAGACCTCAGATTCTTTGACGAAACGCTCGGGCAAATAAACCTGGCACCGAACCAACGTGCTGCATCATGCGAAGGCAGACCTTTTGCATTGAGGCCTGGGGGAAGGCGTACATTGCACCTTCCGCAGGAAGAGATTGCACACCCGGGATCTCGTTGAGTGCTTGAGTTACCAGCTCCGCCTCTCACCAGTCATCCAAGATTGACATCCCTCTGACATCTGGGGCGCTGTTTGTCCACCGGCGCCTTTCTGCTAAGGTTGGCCAGAATCTCGCTGCGCTCCTTCCGCAAGGCAGCACGAAGAGCTCTGGACAACTACGAAAACCCTAAACCCTATACCCGAAACCCTACACCCGAAACCCCAACCGCCAACCCCTAAACCCAGCCCATCCTGGGAGAAAAGGGGGAAGGAGGCATCTCCTTCAACGGGTGGATTCAGGATGGAAGCCATGGCGCCCTCGCGGTCAAGCGCAGTCCGGCAATGCAAGGCGAACTTGGGCAGGCAGTTTAGGTTTAGGGTTTAGGGTTTAGGGTTTAGCGTTTGGGGTTTAGGGTTTAGGGTTTACGGTTCAGTTCTGAGGGGTTGGATTCTGTCCCTGCCTGTCCAAGAGTGTTGGCACACAGGATCATCGAGAAGAGCTTGTAAATTTGGTCGGCTACATCGGCGTCAATGTTTGTCATGTGAAGCACTCCTCCTGCACCAAGCGAGCAGTTCTCCAAACTGGTGTCTCTGTTTTGTGCGCCCCAAGTATGAGGCGCCGTGCTACAACAGGGACTCAATAAGCGACCACAATTTGGAGACCTGCCCCGAACGAGTCCTCTCAAGCCGCATTCACCATAGTATCCCTTGGACATCGAGTGGAACCTGATTTGTCGAGGATAGGCAAGCCCCATGGGAGTGGTTCTAAATCACTGTCCTTTTGGGGCGCCTCGTTTCTATGCGAACTAACATACAGGGTATCCATAATCTACAAAAGGCCCGAATTTGGAGCGCGCACACACACACACACAAGGACAGTCTCGCGAAAAGATGGGCGGTGGTGCCGCAGCCGAAACACGCCGAGGCTACAGCAGCCGAGCGAGACACATGGTACTTTGGAGCGTGCAAACATTGCCTCCCCTAAACCCTAAACCCTAAACCCTAAACCCTAAACCCTGAATCACGAGCCAAGTGGCGAAAACAATTCCACGGGCAATCCAGTCTGGTGCACAACTTGCCTGCTTCCGCGGTTTAGGTTTTAGGGTTTAGGGTTTAGGGTTTAGGGTTTAGGGTTTAGGGTTTAGGGTTTAGGGTTTAGGGTTTAGGGTTTAGGGTTTAGGGTTTAGGGTTTAAGCTCTCTAATTGAAGTCGCTGTGTTTGGGGACCCATATATTCAGGGTTGCACCATTTCCAGGGGAAACAGCTCTCAGGGTTTAGGGTTCTGAGACACTTCGACACATTTTCACCCAGCAGTTATCTTTCGTGCAATCCACCGTAATTGCTGCAAACATGTCCAGGCGACTGTCTAGGTTCCCAATAACAGATACCTTGGGAATCGGATACCCGAACGGACCCAACAAGGCATCCCAAGTTAGAGCAACTTGCCCGATGCGCCTGAAAGACACGAACTCCTTGTCCATGTGCCAAATGTTCTCCTCTTGCCGATGACAGCTCAGACACAGCGTCTGCTCTCAGACGATGACCACTATCTGCTTAAGAACCCCAAAAGAACAAAAAACGTACAATCCCTGGATTACCCTTAATAAGGAAGAACATTTTCGGGGTTCTTAAGCAACTAGTAGAGGACCAAATGGTCGAGATGCCAAGCCAGGCCTGGTAGACTTCATCGGCCAGGATGACCATCTTGGTTGCAGGTCGCGCTTGCCAGGGATACGCATTTAAGTTGCCCTAAACCCGAAACCCTAAACCCTAAACCCTAAACCCTAAATTCCTGGAACTGAGCCACTGCGGCCCAGATGCTCTATACTTTGCACAAAGCCTCGCAGAAGGCAAAACATGGACCCTAGCCGCAGCCATGGAATCAGGATTCCTCATCCCAGCCTCACGATGCTTTCAATCGTCTCACGGCTGAGCACGTTCCCAGTGGGGTTGCCTGGATTGATGACAGCCTGGGCTCAACAGGATTGGCAATGATGCACGCTACCTGCTGGTTCTGCCAGTGCTGAAAAGTAGGGCAGCCGCAATCCCTTTTGGGCGCCCTCCGCTGGCCAGGAAGGACTGCGGCACAGGATGCGTGCACACCACAAGCAGACACATGCACACAGCTGGCGCCTTGATCTTCTCTTCTATCAACTCGACATCGATGGCCCACCCTGCTGCTTTCAGAGACAAGGATGGGCGTCCTTCTCGCCCCAGTGGGCAAGACTCCAGGCGCTGCAAGCCACTAGCTGCCATAAGTAATGATGCCCTGTCAGCACAGCGCCTGGTGAAGTTCGGCTACTTTGAGAAGGGATGCTACGATGAATAGTAGAATGTCAGCTACAAAAAGCGCCTAATGTTCGAAAACAACTTTCACAACGAAAGCGTGCAGAGGACTGCAACAACAAAAGATAGTGCCACACGGATATAGGAAGCAAAGGCAAGAGTCGAAGAGTCACGAAGAAGCCAACGCTCGAGTCAGCAGACAGAAAAGAACAACAGACACACGACACTCCCTGACGTTGAAGACCAGCACCTATTCTTCGAAGAGTCACGACAAGAAAATGCCGAGCCAGCTTGAAAAATCGGCCGTCCTGCTTGATACCTCGGCCTTGTGTTCTCTTAACTTCGGCTGGGTGAACTGCCCTTTGTGGTCGACTGTCGCCGCGATTTGCTGAATTCCTTTCTTTCTCAGGTTTCTGTGTTGAGGGCGTCAACGCAGACGTCGCGCGGGCAGGACAAGGCCACTTACCTAGGGCTTGGCCCCTCAACGCACTCCGCCATCGGCCTTTTCCCGAGACGTAGTCCTGCAAAAGCGGGTGCTGACAAGGGTTGAGATGCGACAGCTTGGCACTCGTCCTCCACCAACTCGTAGCCAATGTGGGTCCCACCGAGACGGGTGATGGAGGCCTTCAGAGCCCCAAAGGCCCAAACCAAAGCAGACTGGCTCCAGAGAGGTTGCCGGGAGTACGTACCCTAAAACCCGAGAAGCCCCAGAAGAAGCCTCGGAATAAGCCCCCCTAAACGCAACACTCAAACCCCCTCCCCAAGCATGCTGGGCTGCCGGGCCGAGTAGAGCGGGTATTGCGGAATGGGGATGAGTAGGCCGTCAGATGGGCTGTCGATCATCACCTTCCGTGAATGGCGCGCCCAGGAGCCGCTTTTCAAGTGATGGGTGTAAGATCTTAGGGTAGTTTCATGGTCCCTTAGCATGGGCCCTTAAATAGGGGATACGCCTTACATACCCTATAAAACCCAAGGGGTCCACACATCAGAACCTTGTTAAGGAAGGCAAGGGAGCATATTCAGGGCCCATGTAACTACCCTTGGAGAAGAGTTCAGGTACAGGGCTTAGGGTAAAAGATATCGGGTGGTAGGTTCTGGGAAAGAGTTTTGGGTAAGGGATGTAGGGTACAGGATATGAGTACAGGGTAGGGCCGAGGGTGTACAGTATAGGGTGTCGGGCGGGGTCATAACGTTGCCACAAGTTGCCATGCTTCTGCTTTGCGAATGCCTAGACGACCCTTAAACCTTTCCAGTTCAGCCCTTTGACCCTTAGACCCGAAACACAAAAATCCCCTAAAACCCTAAACCCCTAAACCCCTAAACCCCTATATGTAGAGAGGCACAGGTTTGTATAGTTCAGAGTGCCAACTCCGAAGGATGGCCCAAAGAGCGCAAGGATGACACGCACAAATCAAGGAATGTAAGAGTACCAGAGGTACCATTTCCAAGGCTCCGTTTAGGGATGCCATGTTTTTGTAGACAAAATCTTTCAAGTCAAGATCTTTTGTTGCTCGCTTCTGGCCTTAGTGCTAAAAGTCCGTCGGGCAGTGATTGGCCATTCGCAGGTCATGAGCCCAAAAGTAACGCTCAACTAGTCAGTTTTTTCCCGAACATGGAGGTGCCTGAGCGATCGGAGCTTTCGGCACGGGATGAGAGACGGGAGGTATCCAGTCAAGATGGCAGGATATCCAGCCAGTCTGCGCAACCTTCGCAAGCCTCCGAGCAAAGGGGGACCGAGGAATCGATCGAATCGGGAGCACACAATCCAAATCCTTTTTGGAGTGAAGCTGTTCAGGGAGAATTCAATCTACGACGCCAGAGACCAGCCTTTTTGGACCAAGAAGCAAAGGTTCGTGAAGAGAGACAGGACGCGGAGCTGGTCTTAGAGCCAGACTATGGGAGGCTTGCGGACGCACCGGCTCCTGTGGAGCCGGGGCAACCCGTGGTTTTGGCCCCAGAGGGTCAACAACTTGTGGAGTCTCCAGCGAGAAGATCCGTGTCCTCAGGGGGTACGTTGTCAAAGTTGGAAAGAGGTCTCACGCCGCAGGATGGAGAGATTGGAGAAGGTGAGAGCCGCCTGGAGAATCAGATGAGACGCATGCAAGAGCTCATGTCGCAAATGGTTGCGGCTCAGGGGGTCATGCAAGAGCGTCTGGCTCGGGTGGAAGAAGAGCGAGCTTCATCGATGCAGTCGGTGGCAAGCAAAGAGGGAGCAGCTCCGCAGACGTACCATTCTCTAGATCAGTGGCGACAGTCGAGCCAAGCTCAACCTGACAGCAGACCTGCACTCACGAGCATGGATGAGCCTCTGGAAATGTGGTATGGTGGCGATGCGTCGTTATCATCAAGGTGCACTGAGTCCAAGGAGGTAGATGTGGCTGTTGTAGGTAGGACGAGTAGCAGTGTCAGCTTCGGACCAATGGGCCCCGAGGGTCATGGTCATGGTCAGTTTCCAGCAGATGAGCTTCAGGGTCAAGGGATGGAGTATTCAGGGGTGGTTGGTGTAGGGAGGGCTAACCCGTACATGCCTCAAATCACCACAAATCCACCTGATAATCGCGCCGAGAACCCGAAGCCAGTGGCGACTCAGGGAGAGTGGCCCAACTCAGGGCAGATGGGCTGCGCTAGGGGGGGACTCTTTGGCAGCAATGAGGCCCGGCCGAGTCTTGGAGCTTGCTTGGGGCCGACGCAATATGGGTTACCGGGCACAGAGGGGCTCATGAGTAGGTCTTTGGGAGGGCCAGAACTTCATCAGGGTCATTGTGGGATGTTTCAGGGGCAAGGGATGAACCGTCAGGCTACCCCAATCTTCGAAGTCCCAAACATTGGTCAACCTATCTTGGTTATGGTAGATGGTAGGCTCCGGGAAGCTAGGGTCAATTCTTCGGGAGGGTTGGAGGTTGTGCCTCAAATCCCAAATCAAGGGCATCAACATTTCTACGTGGGGGAAACAGATCCCTTTGAAGCGGGCCCTTTTGGGCGATGCGCCACCTCACCATTTAAGCCGCCACCGGCGCCGCCGCCTGGGCCTCCCCAAACACCCCAAACAACTTGTGAGTTCAGAATCGGGCCATGTGTGCCTGGAGCCAGTGCCTTTACCGGCGCAAGTGTGAATCCAGACTATGTGAGCACGCCTAGGTTAGGTACGACTGAGCCAGCTAAGACCTCGCCGATGACGCCTGGAGGAACGAGACTTCCGCCAGGGGACCCTCCTCCAACTCCGCCAAGGCCACCGCCGTCAGCTCCGTATGACCCAGGGGAACGCGCGCTGGATTTGCTCAGATCGGCGCTTGGTGTGCAAAGTGAAGGGCTGATTCGGCAAGAAGAGGTGTCAAGGAGTGGCGCGAAGTTGCCGGCTTTGGAGCCGGGGTCGGGAGTAGCAGCATGTGTAGCAGGGGATTGGCTAGCTCAGATCACTCCTACCATGCGGGCCTTGTCTAACACAGCATGGCAGTGGTGGGATGATGTGTGGAATGCTGCGCACGCCTTGTATCAGAAGTGGCTGCAATCTTCGCCAGCGGATAGACTTCTGTTGAAAGCTGTGCAGGACGGAGAGAGACCTCGGTTTGAGACTACCAAGTGGGCCCGGGTAGAACAGCACGCCATTGGGTTGTTAGTTGAGGCTCTACCGAAGTGGCTCCAAACCGAACTGATTGCCAACCGACAGCTAGACTGTACTGCCATAGTGTTTCGGATTCTCACGGCTTTCCAACCCGGAGGACCCCAGGAGAAGGCAGTGGTGTTGCAAGCTCTCACTTCACCCGCAACCGGAAAGAGTGCCCCAGAAGCCTTAAAGGGTCTTCGAATGTGGGTTCGTTTAAGGAAACGGGCAGACGAGTTGGAAGTAGCTCAGCCAGATCCGTCCCTGCTTGTAGCAGCAATTGACTTGATCACCGCGGAGGTGCTCAAACAGCATCCACAAGCCTCATTCCGTCTAGCCAGCTATCGTCATGCCGAACAGGTAGACGTTCTCCCTACAGCCCCGAAAGTATCAGGATTAGCTCAAATGATTCAAGCCGAGCTGGAGGCAGCAGTGAGTTCATCCACAGACTCCACCAAGAGACAGCGAGTAGCGCGGATGAGTGAAGATGAAGGGGGTAAGGGTGATAGGGGGAAAGGGGATGCAAAGGGAAGTGAAAAAGGGGGTGGAAAAGAATCTAAAGGGAAAAGCAACGCATCTGGAGCTAAGGCCACCTGCTGGGGATGGGGAACGGCAACGGGATGCCGGTTCGGTAGCGAATGTCAGTTTGCTCATGGAGAACTGAAGAAGGGAATTTGCTGGGGATGTGGATCCACCGAACACACCAAGCCCAGCTGTCCTCGGCCAGGTGGAGGTGCTGCAGACAGCGCTGAAACGCCTTTCACGGGTAAAGGAGATGGAGGAAATGGGGGAAAAACCAAGGGGAAAGGAAAGAAAGGAGAAAAAGGGGGAAAGCCTAAATCGAATGATCGCGTCGCTAAGGCCCAGGGAGAAGGGGGAGCCACGTCTCATGAAGAAGCAGGCACGGAGGAGAAGACGTCTCCACCAGCGCCGTCACAAGCCGAACTCCTGAAGGACTGCGCTGATCTTCTTAAGTCGATGAAGGTGAAGCGAATGTTTGTTCGTGGCGTTAAGGCAAGTGGGGGAGGAAAAGGGCTCTTGGACGGAGGAGCGACGTCTTGCTTGAGGCAAGGCACCCCTGAAGAACGAGCAGGTCTCCCGCAGAAGTGTGTGGATTTGGCGGTAGGACAGGCCACGTTGTACATCAAAGAAACTGGTGTGCTACTCACGGCTGAACCAATAGCTCCGATTGTCAGCAAGAACGCGTTGGTCAAGTGGTTGGGGTGCGAGGTTCGATGGACCAAGGCTGAGGGGTGCACGGTGTATCATCCGAAGCGGGGATGGTTGGACATCGATATGTCATCAGGGTGCCCCGAAGTGTCGGAGAGTCTTGCGCTTCAGCTCATCGAGGAAATCGAGCGGGCTGTTCAACATCATGATCATGTCATGCGTTGCATCGAAGGTAAGAAGGTCCAGGACAGATTCTCAGAGTCACGTCGTCGAGCATGTGAGAGTCTCAGGGAGGGAAGCGCCGAGGAGTTGAAGAGGTGGATTGCCCAGCGGTTCCCAACTATCCCCGAGCGGTTGGTAGAGCGCATGGTTACTGTTCCCTCAACTGCAGCGTCGCCATGGAATCGAAGAATCCGTAGGTCTTGGGATAGGAAGGATTTCCTCATTCTTCACTTGTGCTGTGGAACAAGCAGAAAGATGTTTGACCACTTGGTGGATAACAGGGTTGGGGTTGTCACGGTCGATATTCAGGAGGACCTGTTATCGGATGACACGTTGGCCATGCTCCTTCATCTAATTGTCCGAGGGAAGGTGATCGCGGTGGTGTCTGGCGCCCCGTGTCGGACGCTTTCAGGGTGCAGACATAGGGACAGCCCAGGTGCTCCAAAGCCGGTGCGAGCGCGCTATGGGGAAGAATTCTGGGGGTTGCAGGGTTTGTCTGAGGATGAACAAGCGGCTGTTGATGGGGATAGCCTGTTATGGCTCAGATCGCTAGTGGTGTACATCACAGCTCAGTATTTCACATGGCGCGTGCATGAGTGTGACACTTGGTTCGGATTTGAGCATCCGGAAGATCCTGCTGTGGTGTGGGGTGACGAATCGGATGATCAGGGAAGGTCCTATCCTAGTATTTGGGCCTCGGAGGTGATGAGCACTCTCGCTGAGGAGTGTGCTTTGGGCACGATCGGGTTCGATCAGGGGCCCTTGGGGCATGCAAAGCGCAAACCGACTCGAATGATGCTTCACGGGAAGCCTCACGTCTCTTTGATGCAATGCAGGGGAGAGGGTGTTGAAA